ATATATATATATATATATATATATATGAAATTAGGAAAGGAGACTGAGAGACTTAGTGCTAGCTTCTGAATCCTGCCACATGCAGATCTGGTGCCCAAGCAATATGGCCATAAAGAGATGATGATAACATAAAAGCCACCATGCAAGAGAACCTACTGATGTTTTATATACTAAATATGCTGTTTCAGTATAGTGGAACACTGACTATATTTTAATCACAGGCATCCTCAATTTAGTAATAATTTTAAATTAAGCTTTAAAAAATCACAAATAAAACATTACTTGACAATCAGAATAAAGGCAGGTAATGGGCTCATAGTCTCGATTTCAACATAGAATAAATACAGTTTTAATTGTAAAACTATTTAAAACCACATACAAAAAAATGTTTTCTTCTTTTTTTTTAAGGTCAATTATCTACGTTTATCCAAAAGCTCCAGCAGACTTCAGAATTATCAGAACTTTACATAGGTTTTGGTGCCCTAACCGGTTTGGCTCAGTGGAGAGCGTCAGCCTGCGGACTCAAGGGTCCCAGGCTTGATTCCAGTCAAGGGCAGGTTTTGGTAATTTCCTTCCTTTAGTTTAAAAAAATCTCAAGGAACAAAGGTAACTGTGTGGTGCTCTCCCTTTCCTGGGCTCGCCTGCACCTCTCCATTCCCCTCCTCTCTGCCACCAGTCCCGTTACCTTCACCCATCTCTCTCCTAAGCTCCAAGGGCCTTTTCCTTCACCTCTCTAACTTATTTCCTGAGCCCACTTCTTCTACTGCTCATTTCTTCCACCTCTGTGACTTTCTAAATAAACTTTCATACACACATATATAAAGTAACTGTACCTTAGAACATTTTCCTTTCCAATATTCTCCCTGAGTGATAACAATACTATTGATGATCCAAAGAAGAAACAACCAAAAAGAATTTTTCAACCAAAAAGGATTTTTAACAAACTTTTCCATTATGCCTGCCTTCCCTTATAAATTTAGTTTCTACTAATACTGATTTAAAATTATAATTTAATCTAGATTAAAAGACAAAATAATTTTTGAGAAATTTCAAACACACTGAAATTTTAGACTCAATGAGAATGGCTATACTCTACCCTCACAAACTGAAATTTTCTACTAGTGATACTACTATTTTGGTTCCTTTTTCAAAGTGTCTGACTTTTATCAATTGGAAAAAATGTTTCAACCTTATCCCACACTTTCTAGAATATCATCAAGTGTTAACATAGTACAACTACATTTAGCACAAACACTCTAACAATGGTAGGAGATACACATCAAGTGGCTCATTTAGTCATCTAGAATGTTAAAAAAACACCTGAAATCTATATAATTTTATTAACCAATGTCATCCAATAAATTCAATTAAAAAAGGAAAACAAAAAGGAATGTTAAGAAATATGTTGTCCCATTTATATCAACTTTGGATTCAACATCTATTCACATATTTATTTTTATGCCTTTATACAAGATAAAACTGACTCCCAGGGATAAAAGATACAGAAAAAATGAAAAGGGAAGGTTGCGTTTCTCACAGGGTCTCTGTAAAACAGCACCAAGTCTTTGGGTCCCTAGGTCATGCACATGCAACACTGGTCAAGGAAGTAAGGTTAATCTGAGCAAATGGACAGAGAGTAGATTTAAATTCTTACTGAGCATGCTCAAATTTTTAATGCACCAAAGAGCAAGAGACTTCCTTAAGGTGGAAGTGTCTGTTTCGTGTACGTTTGATCTTTAAAATAAGTAAAAATATGTACCCTAGTCTAAAACTACTTGCTATGTTTCATAAATTAATGTAAAGGCTCCACAGTAGCAATTCATTAAATAATAAAAAAAAAGTTAGGCTACAAGTTCCCTCTTTCACAAAGCCAACTCCTATGGCATCACATGGAAAGCAGCAAATAAACACTTTCCTAATCAGGGAAAAGTGTTCTTTTCCAGGTGGTGGTGGTGGTGGTGGTTGTGATGGTGGTACCAGGGCAATGGGGATTTTTGGAAAAGGGGGGATGATCTCATTTTGAGATACCTACATTGTAGAAACAAGATCTACAGGATACCTGACTTCTAAATAATACATTTCAATTCTGTTTGGGAGGTACATAAGATAATCATTATTTACAATAAATGGTAAAATGTAGTGTGCACCAGGGTAGTACATTTATAGAGAAAAGATGTCAATAGTTCACTGGTTAGACCCAGGCAACTTGACCCAAAGATTATAAAAAGCCAATCAATACCAGTTTACTCTGTTAAAGAGGTAAGAAATTCTTATTATTGACTACGCTGGGATTACAGATTAAATTGCCGGCTCCACTTTAGTCCAATTACTTAAAGATAATGGATTAAAGTTTTAAAATTCTCTGCACATATTTTTTAAAGAATAAATTATAGGAATTAAATAAACTCACATTGACTAATAAAGCTCATGTCCACTGTGTGCATTTTCCCTCTCCTAATGTTAGAATAAACATGCTCAGTAATGAAAAATTCCAAGCATTTGCAGACCTTTTGGAGACAGGCCTCTGCTTTGTTAGTAGCCATGCCAAGCTGTTCTTTGATTACACAGGGATGCAGACTCCAGGCCAGCACAAATGGTAACTAAAGATTGTACTTGACCTGAAACTGGGCATATGGGAGTTTGTGCTTTGCAAGGAGCAGCTAATACGCTCAGGGGTAGTGGAAACACACACTAGAATGGAAAATGTTCTGCTTGGGGTTAGAGAGCCAGGATCCTTCTCCAGCAACTGCCTCACTGACTTCTGTCTCCTCATCTCTGTCCTACCCTCTGTTGTGGCTGCTGCTGAGTTGGGCTCCGGTGAGCCGTGCTCAGGGGTCCTGCGCACCAGCACCTCCCCCTCTTGCACACGTTTGATCCCTAGGTCAGTGGAGCCGTGTTGGATCGGGGAGCCAGGAATACTCGAGTCAGCCTCGTTTGAGAAGTCAAAGCCATCTGGGATTCAACATATAACATTTTAGTGCTTTTTGTGCTCCTCTATTCTTTCTGAGCATTTTGACCCAGGCAGATAAGAGAATGTATATATGGATATGATATAAACACAAACACTATTTATATAGTTACATGTGTGTGCACAGCATACACACACATAAGGCAGCAGATGAACAATGTGAGGTTTGCAAATGAATAGGATAGAAAAATAGGAATCATTAAAATGGCAGTTAATTTCTCTTAGCCAAGACAGCTTGACTATTCAAATACCATATGACTATGAAATACTGCTGGATTCAGCACTTACTCAAAAAGGAAAAGCAGATAAAAATCTAAAAAAAACAATAATCATTCCTTTTATGGATAGCTTGTATTCCACCATTAGTTTGGCCAGTTATAATTTTCTCCCACAATGCTCATACATGCACCTTTTTCCCCCAATTTGGTAAGAAGCTTAAAGAAACTTCTTTCCTATTGTTATTACTAGTTCAAAAAAGATAAAAATTAACTTGATCTTATTTTCTGCTTGAACATTCATAAGGAATTCTAAATAACACCTATTTTATTAAAAAATATTAAAATACATTTAAGTATGTAAACCATTTTAGTGCTTTCAGAAATTGAAACATTTTACTTTAATTATAGAGTACTGTAATATCATGTGCTAATATAGTCTATAAAAACAGTGATAAATTTAACTGAATCCATGAGTGAGCTATAGAAATTTTGTCCTCACCTTCCCTCCTCCATCTATGGCGACGGATGGAAGCTGTTGTAATTGCAGTCCGAGAAATCCTCGGCACTGTCGGAGTGACTTCCACTTTAAGTACTTTCTGGCCTTCTTGTGAAGAATCAGGAGCATCAAATGGTAATGAATTTTTCATGGCATTAGCAACCTAAAATGATAATATAAGTCTAGACATATTTACACCCTATATACAATTTATACTTATTCTACACTTACTCATTTCCATAATTTCTGAATATGTATTTAAAATGCGTACTACAAAATATAAAAGTAGAATGTGTCAGAAATACTTGTATTTCTATTGTTCTGTATTGTTCTAGGCAGGTTTTTAAAATGAGAGTTTATTTTTTTTTAATGTTAGTCACCTTACCATTTCTTGAAGTTATTGACTTTCAAAGAAGAAATACATTCCATAGAAGGAAAAATTGTTTAACATTTGAACCCTGACATAAGAAAAATTAGAGTAAGTTTCTGATTTTTCAGGTAATAAATAACATGCAAAATTTAATCTCTGGTTAAAATAATTAGCCTTTTCTCCACTCATTTGTTTCATAAGAAATTTTTCCCAACATGTCTGATATTTTGTCCCAACACTTTCTGCCTTCCGTAGAGAGTAAAATATCTGGCTCAAGAGTAATTGCTGTTGTTTGATTCATGTTTCTTTTAGAGAGCCAGGATTCTTCTCCAGCAACTGCCTCACTGACTTCATTTCATTGACTTTTTTTTTATTGGTCTGTTTTCATTAATTTTTAGAGAGAGAGAAGAAGGGAGAGGAACAGACAGAAACATCCATGAAAAAGTAACATCATCAATTGGCTGCTTCTTGCAGGCCCCCTACCAGGGATGGAGCCAGCAAGCCAGGCATGTGTCCTGACCAACAGGGAATCGAACCAGCGACCTCTTGGTTCATAGCTTGACACTCAAACACTGTCACAGTCGCCAGGTGGGTTTATGTTCCTTAATGGGGTAGTGCTCATCTGGCAAAGATCTTGAGATAGAGGATTGTCATTCTCCCTCCCTCTCCACTTGGACAAGGACAAGTGGAGTGTAGCAACCTAGATAAGTGTGGCTTCTCTACCAACCCAAACATTCTCTGCAGAGGGAGTCAGGGGCCTGCTTCAAGGTCTATTGAGGGGTGGGGAGTTAAGTCTTTCAGTTTAGCCTTTATCAGTGCTAAAGATAATGCCTTATTTTTCTATTTGCCAACTATTTTATCTACTTATCATCTGCTCTAGATTTGAATAGAGAAAAGGAGTGTTATTTATTGGGCCCCTCAGAGATCCCCAATAATAAAGAACTATTCCAGGACTAGAGATTACTAATCTCTTTAACTATATTGCCTTGAAAGTGCCCCTCTACTTAATTTTTAAAATTGTTACAAAGATAAAAGCATGGATTTAAAGAGTCTCTCAAATGCAAAGTATTATTACTGTAATATAATTTTTAAAAATCTTGTTATTCATTCATTTTAATGTAAATGTTAGAGTAAAATCAGGGGTGATGACATTAGAAAAAAATGGGAATTTAAAGTACAAAAAAGATAAGAAAATGGCTTTAAAAATTGTACTTTTAAAACACTGTAAGTAAAAGTACATAAATAATTTTTAAAATACTATTATAAAAATACTGTAAAAAGTTTAGAAAATAAAAAATTGCAAAGAAATAAAAATCCACAGTCAAATCACGTAGACAACTATTAGCATTTTGTATGTTTCTTTTTTTTTTTTTTTACATCCTCATCCGAGGATATTTTTCCATTGATTTTTAGAGAGAGTGGGAGAGGAGAGACAGAAAGAAACATCAATGTGAGAGAGACACGTGGATTGGTTGCCTCCTTCACGTGCCAGAGATTGAGCCTGCAACCAAGGTACATGCCCTTGACCAGAATTGAATCTGGGACCCTTCAGTCCATAGGCCTTCACTCTATTCACTGAGCCAAACTGGCTAGGGCAGCATTTTGTTTGTTTCATCTGTCCTATCTAGATTAAAAAAACAGTTGTATACTGTTTTACCACTTAACATAAGCTAGCATCTTTCTTTAATATAAATTTCCAAATACATAATTTCACCAAGCAAATATTGTATAATAATCATTCTCTGCTGTGCAACATTTAAACTGTTTTCATTCCTTTGAAATTAAAAATAACATTAATGCTGTGCTTACAACACATGATTAAAAAAAAATTAAAGTAGTTTTCTGGGATACATTGCTAGGCATGGAATAGTAAAACGAATACACCCTCTGCTGAGGGGTGGTTAGAGCTGTGTTCTACTTCTACTGGTAACATAAAAAATGCCTTCCATAGCCCACTATTGGATGTTTACATTTGTTTTTATTATTGTTTTTTTAAAATCCTCACCCGAGGATATGATTTTTTATTGATTTTAGAGAGAGAAAGAGGAGGAGAGGGGGAGGGAAGGTGAGAGGAGGAGAGAAGAGGGGAGAATGAGAGAGAAAGAGAAAGAGAAAGAGAGAGAGAGAGAGAGAGAGCCCGAGGATTTTTTTTTATTTTTGAGAGAGAGAGAGAGAGAGAGAGAGAGAGAGAGAGAGAGAGAGAGAGACAGACAGACAGACAGACACAGACATCGATTGATTGCCTCTCATATGTGCCCTGACTGGGAATCAAACCTGAAACCTTTCGGTGTATGAGACGATGCTCCAACCAACTGAGCCAACCAGCCAGGGTGAATGTTTACATTTGTTTTTCGGTTAATCATTTACCTTTTGGGGATTAATTTTGTTTTTAAGATACCAATGGTTTAGCAATTTTGTTTTTTAAAATACGTTTTTCAGAAAGAAGAAGGGAGAGGAAGAGATAGAAACCTCAATGATGAGAGAAAATCATTGATTGGTTGTCTCCTGCACTCCTGCACTACTGGGGATCGTGACCTGACCAGGAATCAAACCAGGACCTCTTGGTTCATGGGTTGACGCTCAACCACTAAGCAATACCAGCAGAAAGACACTGATGGTTTAGAATTTAGATGTGTAGGTGGTCAAAAAATCATCAACCATTTTTTAGTGACTTGTCATATCATTTAAGTTTCGAAAGTCTTTCCTGCAGAAGTTTGAGTATTTTTTAATTTTTTTATACCATTTAAAAAAATATTTTATTGACTTTTTACAGAGAGGAAGGGAGAAGGACAGAGTTAGAAATATCAATCAGCTGCCTCCTGCACACCCCCTTCTGGGGATGTGCCCGCAACCAAGGTACATGCCCTTGACCGAAATCAAACCTAGGATCCTTCAGTCCACAGGCCGACGCTCTATCCACTGAGCCAAAACGGTTAGGGCAGAAATTTGAGTATTTATAACCTATCCCCCTCTTTTTTCTTAAGGGCTTCAATTCTTTAAACTTTATTTGAATTGTATTTTGATACATGGTAGGAGGAGAAGGTCTAAACCAATTTTGTTTTCTTTCCAACAGTTAACCAACTGCTATTATGGAATAAACCCTTTTCCTCAATAATTTGGATTGCCTCAGATTTTGCATACTAATTTCTTATATCCTCAACAGGCACAGGTATATTTAATAAAAAGTAAATATTTTCACATACCAATAGTGGTTGAGAAAAGAGTTCTAGCTGAGCTCTATAAATGATGTCATCAAGGACTTCCTGGCCAAGGTCCCACTGTCCATTATACCTAAGGAGAAGCAGGTAGTTTACTATCTTTAGCAAATATCTTTAATATTCAACAACACCCTTTTTATTGTTCCAAGTCCTACTATTTTGATTCTTAAACAAGATTTTCACATCAATTTTTGCATCATTCCACCTCTAAACAATCCCACTTTTGGTTACAAGAACAAAATGAAGATTTCAGATATAAAAGTTTAGAATAGTCTATAGATGTCTCTTCACATAATTTTTTTATCATGTATTGATATTTAGGGTAACCTATTTAATGCATTCATGAAAACCTGGGTTATAAACTACAAGGAGAGACAGTTTTCTGTTATGTTCATAGCAGTGTTATTTATAATAGCTGAGACCTGGAAACTCATTGCCAATACTGATGATGTAAAAGGATCTTCCTGCCTATAGTTTCTTTTAGAAGTTTCATGGTTTTAGGAAACACATTCGACTCTTTAATCCATTTTAAGTTGATATTTGTGTAAGGCGTAAGATAGTGGTTCAGTTTCATTCTTTTGCATATGGTTGTTCAGTTTTCCCAGGACCTTTTACT